CCCATTCTTCTCAGAGTCAGCCACAGTTTGTTGTGATCCACACAGATAAATGCATCTGCTTAGTCAATGAAATATAGAAAGACATTCCTCTGGTATTCCTGCTTTCTACCAAGATCCATCTAACATTAGCTATAATATCCCTAGTACCACAGCCTTTTCTAAACCCAGGCTGCACTTCTGGCAGTTCTCTGTTGACATGTTGCTCCAGTCGTTTTTGGATAATTTTCAGCAGAATCTTGCTTGCATGTGATATTGATGATATTGTTTGATAACTTCCACATTTTGTCGGTTCACCTTTCTTTGGAATGGGAACAAATACAGATCCCTTCCAATCAGTTGGCCAGGTGGTAGTCCTTCAAATTTCTTGGCACTACTTAGTGAGCACCTCCACGGCAGCATCTGTTTGTTGAAATACATCAATTGGTATCCCATCCATTCCTGGAGTCTTGGTTTTGCCAAGTCTTTCAGAGTAACTTGAACTTTTTTCCTTCATCACCATAGGCTGTTTGCTAATATGTTGTTTCATGAAATTCTTCTGTGTCAGACAATTCCTTCTGCTATAGGGACTCTGTATACTCCTTCTATTTTCTTTTAATGCCTCTTGAATCATTTAATATTCTGCCCAAAGCACCCTTAAGTATTACCACTCATGGATTGAATTTTTCAATTTGTTCAGCTTAAGAAATGGTGAACGAGTTCCACCCTTTTGATTTTCTGACTCCGGCTCTTTGCACATTTCATTATAATACTTTGCTTTGTCTTCCTGAGTAGAATGTAGAATTTGAAATGAATAGTTATTTTCTTTCTTAATTTTGGTTATCTTTTTACAATGTTTTTATTTTTCCCCTTTGTAAAAGAATCACTTTGTATTTACATTTATGACCTCTTCTTTTGTGCAATCCAGTTTTATTTCACAGGCATCTGGCAGTGACTATATTTTTGTTTTCTTGCTTTTTGTGGAGATTTTTTTCTTTTTTTTAATTCTGAGAACCTAGATCTTTTACCATTGAGGACACATTTCCAGATATTGTTTCATTAAATAACTTTCCTCATATCTTCTGTACCTTTCTTTCTAAAACGCATGACTGATGTAGTTTCATAGATAGACTGATTCTCTGTATCTCATGTCATGTGGCAGTGTGACATCAAAACACGAATTAGTTCCCTGACTACTAGGTCCAGAAACATCTCAAGACTAGTCTGTTTAATGACTGCTGCTCAATATGCCATCGCGTGTTCAATTGCTATGTTTTGCACCTCTGGGCATTTTTCATGATTTCTTGAGAGCTCATCTTTGCATATAAAACAAGGCTTATTGTCATAGTGTCATCTGTTACACGTTTCACTGTGACCTAATGACCATATGTCCCTAAAGGCTTGAATCCACCAGTGGCCCCGAGAATAAGAAGTAGTTTCCTCCCATTAAGATTTACAGCCTCTGAAACCCAATGGGAAGATCCCTGTGAGCTCGAGTAGAAGAGACTCCATGGTAGAGTTGGTTTAGAGGTGTACTGTGTTTCCTGGAAGACTTCTAGGTGATTCCAATGTCCTGAAGTTATATCAACCCACACCAGGTGCTGCTCAATCAATCTGAATCCATGTTACAGAGTAGAACTACTTTGTAGGATGTCCTTGGCTGCCATCTTTACTTAAGGAGATCAAGAGGGTTTTGTATTGTGTGACCACTTAGCTCATTGCTGGTGAGTCGGAATCAACTAGTAAAAGAACCTCCACTGCGCTGCTAAAGATTTAAATTGCACTTGAGATTAGCTATCTTCCACCGTTGGAGTTACTGGTGAATTGGAATCTGCCAGGGAGCTTTGGCCTTTCGGCCAGCAGGGCACCTCCTTAGGGCCCAGGCCACCAAAGCTCCGGGGGTGACCAGCAGGTGCTTTGGCAGTGTGCAAACCATGTGCGCCCTCTAGGGACCTGTTCATGTCAACTAATTTTTAATATTTTAAGAAATGAAAGTCAAGTCTATCAATCTCCAGAATGATTCCATTATGTTAATGGATTTGAACCACTTCATAAAAGCAACTACCTTGGCAATTTTAGAAAACGAACCTGAAACTAGAGTCGAGTAAAAGAGGCTATCCAGTTAACTTGTCGTTAGATGAGTCAATTAAATGAGTTCTCATTCTGTGCGCCTCATTAATCAGTATTTCATCTCTCTTTAAAATTCTAAACTTTTTAAACAGTATCTGAGTTATCTAATGCCGCTACACTATAAATACCACAAGGGAATAACTTTAACAAACTTAACTTGTGTTTGCTGTTGTTGTTGTTGTTGTTAGGTACCATCGAGTCAACTCTGACTCAGAGTGACCCCATGACCCACAGATCTGAACCCTGCCCTGTCCCGCACCGTCCTCACCATACCAGATACGCTCAAGTCTCTTGGTACAGTCGCCGTGTGAGTCCATCTCACTGAGGGGTCCTCTCTTTCACTGACCCTCTTTCCTTCCCAGTCTTTTCTTGCCTAAGTACTAGTTGCTCCTGAAAATACATCACAGTAGAATGAGAGGAAGGTTCACCATCCTTTCCTCTAATTTTGTTTAGGAGGCTAAAAGTCTGAAATAAGGGCACCGTTCGTGGAGGTAGGCTTTCTCTGTCAGTTCTGGGAAAAGATCTATGCCCGTTCTCAGCTTGTGTTTCTCCACTCCTCACTCATGTTGATGTGGTGTGCTTCATTTTTTTCTTGTGTGCTTGGTTTCTGTCTCACTCCATCTGATCTTTTTATATCTCCAGAGAAATGGCTTAAACACACCCTATATTAATATTGCCTCAGTGTCATAAAAAAGTAGAGGAACAACAATTAAAATAAAATGCTATATAACATGGGAGAGTCCAGAGAGCTTTATGCTGAGTGAAATAACTCTGTGACATAAGGACAAATACTGCATCACACCACTCTTGTGAAAACAGGAGGATAACTGAGCAAGACATGGATAAATGTTCAAGAGGGGAAGGTGAATGACATAAGAGGAACGGAAAATGTGGAAGAGCAAGAAACCATTGGGATAGCAGAGGCTGGAGGTGAGAGGAGGGTGTCAAAGAATGGGAAAGGTTCAACAGAGGCTTGAAAAGATGGGATGATTGATCAATGGAAATTAAATATATAAAATGTAATGCACATGAATTATTGTATAAAACACAATGTATACATAAGAAATCCAATGTAAATTAATATGCAAGCCAATATTTTTTGAAATCACACACATTACCCTAATATTGCCTCAGAGGTTAAAGACAGGTAGATGATAGATAGATTCCTTTTCAAATGGGACTATATCCATATATATAAAAGCAAAAAATCCCCAATCATTGCACTCTAGCCAATTCCAACTAATCGTTAGTTACCTTAGAAGACAGAGTAGAGGTATCCCATAGGGTATAGAATGGTTGAATTTTTTTAAGTAGACTGCTGCATCTTTTCTCCCAAAAAGAGAACCTCTGGGTTTGAACTTTTAGAGTAACAATCAAACACTTAATCAGTGTATTACTAACATTGTGTTTTTTTTAAATTTTAATCACCAACGTTCTTTACCACAAGAATGTTGTTGTTGTTGTTGTTGTTGTTGTTGTTGTTGTGTACCTTTAAGTCCTAACCCGTAGCTGATCTTCCAGCAGGTGTTCAGAGGCAATGAACTGCATTGGAGGAGAATGCCCATCTTTCTCCCACAGAGCAGCTGATGGATTTGAACTGAGTACCTTTGTGTTGGCAGCACAATTCCTTACCACTAAGCCACCAGAGCTCCCTACCACAGGTAGAGGGGTTAGGATTTACAACACAGATTTTGAATATTGAAGAGATACTTCAATCCAGAACAAATAGCCTTAAATCAATTTAATTCATTTTATGGCCTGTTTTAATTATTTTTCTTGTGAGTATAAACAAAAGGAACTTAGATTAAGTAATTACCATTAGGATCAAGTGAACTGACCTTACTTCCTTCCAATGGGCATCCTAGGAAAAAGCATTCCTCTGTAACCATTACATCTAATCTTAAATTAGATCTCTTTAGGTTTAAATTATTTCAAAAAGTCTGTACTAGAATTGTTGTTACATACCACTGAGTGAGTCTAGATTCAGACCTGCCCCTCCAGCAGGTTTTCAGAGACAGTAAATCAATTAGATCGGAGGAGATTGCCCATAGTTCTCCCGAGGAGCAGTCTGGGTATTTGAACTGCATGCCTTTGGCTCGGCAGTGCAACTTCTTACTACTAAAGCCACCAGAACTAGTTGCTGTGAATTGTAGAGTCCAAACTTAGGATACTTATGGTTGACTGCCCATCCTTCTCCCTGGGAGCAGCTTATAGATTTGAAACGCATACTTTTGCCTTGGAATCACAATATCCAACCTCTAAGCCATGACAACTCCCAACCAGAGCTTAGTTGAGTAGAAAAAGCAGGGAGCTCTGAGGGTCTAGCAGTGGTAAGGAGTTGCAGGCACAAGGCCAAGGCCACTGGCTGCTTTTTTGAGAGAAAGATGAGCATTCTCCTCTTGTGTGGTTCATAGCCTCTGAAGACCTGCTGAGGGTCAGCTATGAGTGGGTTCTCACTTCAAGGCACATTAACAACATACTACTACGATATCATCTTTCTGAATCTCAGGCTCAAAATCTACCTACTCTAAAACTTCTTTTCATTTATTTACATATTTTGAGATCTTTCTCATGTTGATTCTTCTAAAACTTTTTTTTCTTTTTATTATTACTTTTTGCGTGTGTACCATCAAATTGAACCTGACTGGAACAGGGAGAGATGGTTCCCCCTTCTCCAGGCAGAGCATCTGGTGGATTCGAACCACTCACCTCTGGGATTATAGTGCAACTTCTTGCCACTAGGCCACCAGAGCTCCCTAATTCTTCTAAAACATTTATGCTTATTCTCCCAAGTGTACACAACTTTTAGCTTATAATATATATTAGGTATCCATTACTAAAGCCAGACTGTTAAAGATTGTATTGTGATCTTTTTATATCCACTCTCTTTTCAGGAGATTTGTCCTTACCAAAGTTCAAGTCATCCCAAAAGGAGCGTTTTCAGGACTTGAGCACCTGGAGAAAATGTATGTACCTGACAACAATGTGTGTGACCCTCAAGCCTCCCTGTCACAGCCTTTTCAGATCCCACATTAGAAACCACAGAAACACACAGCAAATGTTTACCCTTCCTCTTGAGCGAAGTTCCTACACAATGATGAGAAATGTTGAGAGTCTGAGAATTAGCAAAAGGTCAATCCGAACAATCCTCACTTTCACATTTGGGTTTATTCTCAAATTCCCTGTCTGTGGAACTTTTCTACATCGAAGCCTATTTTCTCAGAGTTGGGCTGCCAATTCACAGGCACACAATCTGAGTCCACCAGGTGCTCACAGGAGAGCGCCTCCCCTCTTGCAATCTCCTGCCTCTGAAAAGCTACTGGTGGGTCAGTTTTTTTGTTGTTGTTGTGTGTCATTGTGTGGAAATGGACTCATAGCTGCCCTTCCAGTGGGTTTACAGAGACAGTCATCCTTCTCTGACAGAGCAGCTGGTGGATTCAAACCATGTGCCTTTGGGATCGCAGTGCAGCTTTTAACCAATAGGCCACCAGAGCTCCTGGTCAGTTATGTTGTTGTTGTTAGGTGAGTACAACTAATAGCGTCAAGGGGAGTACAACTAAAGTCAACCCTATGAATTGTGGACCTGAACCCTGCCCTAACCTGTGCCGTCCTCCTCATCTCTGAGACACTCAGAGTCCATTGCTGAAGTTACAGTGTCATGTCATTGAAGGGTCTTCCTCTCCTTCCAAAGTGACAGGACATACCACCACCACAATTTCCAATACTCTCTCCGCCACTGTCCCATACACTGATAAACATTTCATACCACACCACTTCTTTTCAAGTAGGAAAAAATAGTTTCTTAGTATTAGTACTGCTTTAGGTAGCGAGGTCACTTCCATTGCCAGCTCAGCTGTACTGTTCTTCAAAGTTCAAACTACCACCTAAGACAAGCTCTGGTACCTACCTTCTCCTTAGAATGTCCTTCAATCTCTGCCTTTTCCTGTTAGCTGGCCCCTGTTCATCCTTCTGCTTCCTTTGCCAGTGTCTTTTCCACAGACAAGACTTCCCTGGCCTAACTAGGTCAGAGCCTTTATTACTCATACGCGTATTACCATGAAGTCTCTATGTGTACGTTAAAATTCTTAATTTTACATATAATTATGTACTAATGGCATTTCTTTCCAAATCTTCCATTGGATGGTAAGTTCTTGAAAGACAAGATCAGCATTTCTTTTTGCTCAATACTGGATCCATAGTATCTAATTTATCAGGCATATCGTCAGCATTTAACAAATGCCAGGTAAACGAATGAACCACCAAATGTGATTACTTGTTCAATGAGAGATCCAGATATAAAAAGGATATAATTAAGCAATAGGAATGATAATGAGAAATAATATAGAAGTTGATCAGCATACAAACACTGGCAGAGGATCTACTATGATATATATAGGCTTATCTCGTAATTATAGTTAAACTGTAACTCAGAACAAAATGTGCAAGACAACTTAAATGATTTGTATTTGTTAGGTCTTTTTTCTGTTGTGAAAGGCAAAAGAAAGCAAACCTCAAAGAGGCTTAAGGAAAAGAAGATCGTTTAATGGCTCGTTAATTTGATGGTCAGAGGGAAAGAATGACTTTGGAAATCACTCTGATTAATTCCCAGTGGCTTCTGACTTGGGCTTTGTTCCTGCCTCAAGTCTGCTTTCCATTCTGTTTAGTGTCTGGCCTCCCCCCTAATTCACTGATGGCAAGACGGCAGCAGCAGTCCTGGCTTCAGGCTTCCCATGGTTTTGTTTTTGAAGGAAAGAGGTGACATTCTACTCCCTCAGTCACACAAGTCTTTGTACTCTGGGCCTGTCACACAAACACTCCTGCACCAACCCCTGCAGCTGAGACAGTGGGAGGCTTAGGTTCTCCTTGGTCTGGGTCATGGCTACATCTTGCCTTAGAAATGGAAGCAAAGCCCTCCCAAACTACCTGGGCTTAGAGTAGGAGAAGGAAGACCTAGAAACAAACATTAAGACCACTGCTGGGGAAGAAGAAACTTAGATGATGATCTTATGTACCTGTGAGTCAGAAGTGATTCACAAAGGACCCTCCAATGGGTTTGCAGAGGCTGTTAAATGCACAGGAGGAGACTGTTTACTTGGTAGACTTGAACTTGCTGGTGGGTTTGAACTGCAATCTTTTAGGCTGGCCTTGCAACTCTCTACCACTAAGCCACCAAAGTCCCCTTAGATGATGATAGTTATACCTCATTCTCATGGAACACAACTATTTTGTAGATTTTGAGTATA